TATGTATTGGTTTGTATATGTATGTATTGGTTTGTATATGTATGTAATGGTTTGTATATGTATGTATTGGTTTGTATATGTATGCATTGGTTTGCATATGTATGTATTGGTTTGTATATGTATGTAATGGTTTGTATATGTATGTATTGGTTTGTATATGTATGTATTGGTTTGTATATGTATGTATTGGTTTGTATATGTATGTAATGGTTTGTACATATATGTATTGGTTTGTATATGTATGTATTGGTTTGTTTATGTATGTAATGGTTTGTATATATATGTATTGGTTTGTATATGTATGTATTGGTTTGTATATGTATGTATTGGTCTGTATATGTATGTATTGGTTTGTTTATGTATGTAATGGTTGTATATATATGTATTGGTTTGTATATGTATGTATTGGTTTGTATATGTATGTATTGGTTTGTTTATATATGTATTGGTTTGTATATGTATTGATTGGTTTGTATATGTATGTATTAGTTTGTATGTGTATGTATTGGTTTGTATATGTATGTAATGGTTTGTTTATGTATTGATTGGTTTGTATATATATGTATTGGTTTGTATATGTATGTATTGGTTTGTATATGTATGTATTGGTTTGTATATATATGTATTGGTTTGTATGTGTATGTATTGGTTTGTATATGTATGGAATGGTTTGTATATGTATTGATTGGTTTGTATATGTATGTATTGGTTTTTATATGTATGTATTGGTTCGTATATTTATATTTATTGGTTTGTATATATATATTTATTGGTTTGTATATGTATATATTGGTTTGTAAATGTATGTATTGGTTTGAATATGTATGTATTGGTTCGTATATTTATATTTATTGGTTTGTATATATATGTATAGGTTTGTATGTGTATGTATTGGTTAGTATATGTATGTAATGGGTTGTATATGTATTGATTGGGTTGTATATATATATGTATTTGTTTGTATGTGTATGTATTGGTTTTTATATGTATGTAATGGTTTGCATATGTATTGATTGGTTTCTATATGTATGTATTGGTTTGTATATGTATGTATTGGTTTGTATATGTATGTATTGGTTTGTAAATGTATGTATTAGTTTGTATATGTATGTATTGGTTTGTATATGTATGTATTGGGGAAGATAGCAGCACATGTAAAAGGTAGCTGATTGGTGTGAAGAAAACGAGATCCTCACCAAAAGGGAAATTTACTTTAAAACTTGAGTATATAAATTGCTAGACCTTATTTATGTGTTCCCAGTATAAAGACTACCTAATCCCAATATTAAACTTCAACTCACCACATCCCTTTATTAAGACTTTACTCACCACATCCCTTTATTAAGACTTTACTCACCACATCCCTTTATTAAGACTTTACTCACCTGGTCCCAGTATAAATGCTCCTCCTTGCTGCTTTATATTCCCCTCAAACTCCCCAACCTTTAAAGCGTTCCAGGTACTCCTCAGCGTCCCCATGAACAGATTCTGCTTGACATGCTTATTATCTGCTCAAAAGAAAGGACCAATGAAATTATCTCTGTCATCAGTCAATATCAAGTTTGGCTTTTCATGTCCTTCAATTATCAACAGTGAAAAAAGAGCTCAAACAATTTCCATATAGATTTGTTTTAAATACCATTGCTTTGCTGCACACAATGATATTTGCCAGAAGAACAAATGTGTTTCAATGATTTGGTTCATAATAAATCACACTGATCTTAAGCCTCAAACAAATTTTTAATTGATTGAGGTCAGAGGTCAAAATATAGATTCCAGTTGCCTACAGAAAGTACTTTTAGTACATACGATTCTGCCTTCCCAAGAGTAGCTGCATATACTAGATAGTACCTCTAGGGGCAATAGTACAGTAAATACACCCTGGACAAACAGTTTCAATGGCTGGGGTCAAGTGTAAAACCTGTAGTCCCCTCCTATAATTGTGGACCAGTAATCGGGGTATGAGCACTAGCATTAGTATCAATAACAATGGTCTGGCTCATTGCTATGGAATGGTTTGGTAAATTTTCGTATTCTGTAAAAACTGTACAAACTCCTTACTCTTCCCATCACCATGCACCATCTTCTCCGTCAGACTGAGAGTTTTGTAGACCTCTCTCTCTGGGTCAGTATACAGGGGGTAATTGAAATGAGTCTCCTCCTTGAATGGCTGAAATTGACGAAAACATATAGGTAGTACCAATATATTCAATCATCAGATTTAAACACTTCAAACCTGTATAGCATTCCCACTGAAGAATTGGTGGAGACACCTAAGACACGTATGGGTTGTCATTGTCACACTAAACTCTATTCTCTAATTGGTCTGTTAGTGTGAAAATAGCAAGTTTCATTCGCCATGGTTGAACAAAACATTTAGCTTTATTTTAACAACAAAATCTGACTTGTAAAATTGTAATCATTTGTTTCTTTTGTAATTAAATTGATAACAATTTTTTTTTATTAAGAAGCAGTTTTTTTTTCCAAATTGAAGTATTCACAGTCCAACAAATGGACAAGAACATGGTACATATTTACCTTAATAAACTTGTATGGGGCTGGTCCAATTGACAAGATTATGGTACATATTTACCTTAATAAACTTGTATGGGGCTGGTCCGATTGACAAGAACATGGTACATATTTACCTTAATAACTTGTATGGGGCTGGTCCAATTGACAAGAACATGGTACATATTTACCTTAATAAACTTGTATGGGGCTGGTCCAATGGCAACAATTCCTACATTAGCAGCCTAAAATATAAAATAAAAGTATTTATGCAACAACAACATTATTCAGTTAATAGACTCAAAAAAATATTGCTGAATATTATTGCTAAAATAAGATCAATTACATGTATATGACATTCATAATGTATAGGTTATAAAACATACAGATAGTTCCTATATCAGAAGTCTAGAAGATTGTTGGCAAGGAACCATGTGAGGTTACACTTTGTCGATTTAAAACAAAAAATATCTGTTGTGTATATCTTATTAATTGATGCTGATTGAGGCAGGAAGAATCTTTGTCAAACTTGTATTATAAGAGTATAAATTATACTTTAACTTAGTGTGTATACGCAGGTCTGTGAAAGCCAAGATCAAACTCACTTGAAACAAAAACAAATGAACTCTGTTGGTGAATGTGCAAATAACAAAGTTACCATGTCACAGTAGCACATGAGAACAATATTTACCTGAAGGTATTCGGGTGGGACAATTCCTAAATCTGGAGAAAAAAGAAAAGATAGAATAAATTAACTTGGAATGACACACTATAGTCCTTATGATACTTTAGACCGGACAGAATACTGGACGGCGTAGGCAATGCTTTTACTGCTGCTCATTCTACCTTCCTGGTGGACACTGGATCCATAAATGTTCAAACGAATAGTACAATATATACCTCATTTAACAATCCCTGCCCAACTGCATTGTGGTTTATATATATGCAGTAACCTCCCCTTGACTATACAAACCTGTTACCACAGCTCAGTTTCTTTTACAAAAATTATGAAACAAGTTATTTCAACTTATGTTAATCATTCTTGTTGGCCAAGATGTTAGAGCGCAGGGAGTCTTAATGTGGGAGGAAACCAGAGTACCTGGAGAAAACCCACGTAGTCGGGCAGGTGACCCAATCGCTTTTCCCATCCCTTTCACGTCCTATGAAAGAAAAGAACCCCGGCAGCCTTGCTGAAAGACACTGCTATCCACTACGCCACCGACAACCTACAAACTCAGTTGTTAACAGTGATAGTCTAACAGTTTGAAGTCCAGGATTAGAATCCCAGCCTAGCCATGCTGACTTTTTTACACTCCGAACACTATTTTTGATATGTTCTCATAAATGTTACAGTTTTTGGCAGCGGTACGGGGATCCTTAAATTTCACTACACTACTGTGTCCCCTCAGAATGACATTAAAGTCAAAAACAAGTGATTTATGAAAATTACATAGATAAATCATCTGTGGCAAAAAAATCACATTGACATTTCACTATAACTTAGTGACTTAGTTCAAGAAATACTGTCCATAAGTTTAATGTATAATCGTATTTTCTCCAACATTGCTAATCATACAGGGTGCTTATTCAGGTGGTATGCAGTAATAGATTATCATTTGCCAAATTTTTAATAACCTAGAACTTACCTCCTATGTAATCTTTGCAAACAAAGCAGTGGAAGTGCTGTAACAGACACAAACCAAACCTATACAATGTATACAATGTATCACTGGAAGTAAAGGATAAAGATTTATAAACTTCTTCATTATGAAACCTAGTGTCTCGTGGAATGGGGAGGCATTTCAGGAAATTGTAATTAATGAAATTAATGCTTGGACTAGCCCAGCTGTACAGGTAAAGGTTATCATTTGCTGTTTGAACATTATAAACAGGAGTTGATTCAGCTACTGGCCCTCTTGCCCAAGTTAACAGTTAATGCTGCAGACCTGTTCATTTGCAAGGAATACAGTATGCTCTTATAATTATAGGAAATGTTGTTGTTGTTTTTTTATTTTTTTTTATTTATGAAACATAATTATATTGATATATTTTTTACATCTTGAAATGTACATGACTGGGTCGATCGATGGCGACTACTTAGCTCAATTGGTAGAGCATCCATCTAGAGTTTGGGAGGTCCGGGGTTCAAACCTGGTTAGGCCATGCACTCCTCTATTTTCACTTCTCAAAATTCTTTTGTTACAAAACTGGCAAGCTTGCCAGCCCTTATTTAAGCACAAAGTAAATCCTTGGTAAGGGGATACAGAACCTGGGTTGTAAATAGTGTTCTCTTTAGTATCCTCATCTGGACCTGCATTTCTCTTTCTCCTACTACACACAAAACATCCAGAGAAAATATTCACCTTTATTTAGTTTTGACATTAACATAGATCGGGGACATAGTCAATATATTAAAATAGATCAGAGACATTGTCAATAAATATATACAGATCATGGATATTGCCAATAAATGAACACCAATCATGGACATTCAGACATTCAAATACATAAAGATCAGGGACATAGTCAATACACACAGATCAGGGACATAGTCAATACATACAGATCAGGGACATAGTCAATACATACTAATCAGAAACGTAGTCAATACATACAGATCAGGGACATAGTCAAACATACTGATAAGGGACATAGTCAATACACACAGATCAGGGACATATTCAACACATACTGATCAGGAACATAGTCAATACATACAGATCAGGGACATAGTCAATACATACAGACCAGGGACATAGTCAATACATACAGATCAGGGACATAGTCAATACACACAGAGCAGGGACGTAGTCAATACATACAGATCAGGGACATAGTCAATACATACAGATCAGGGACATAGTCAATACATACAGATCAGGGACATAGTCAATACATACAGACCAGGGACATATAGTCAATACACAAAGATCAGGGACATAGTCAATATATACAGATCAGGAACATAGTCAATACATACCGATCAGGGACATAGTCAATACATACAGACCAGGGACATATAGTCAATACACACAGATCAGGGACATAGTCAATACATACAGATCAGGGACATATTCAATACATACAGACCAGGGACATATAGTCAATACACAAAGATCAGGGACATAGTCAATATATACAGATCAGGAACATAGTCAATACATACCGATCAGGGACATAGTCAATACATACAGACCAGGGACATATAGTCAATACACACAGATCAGGGACATAGTCAATACATACAGATCAGGGACATATAGTCAATACATACAGATCAGGGACATAGTCAATACATACAGATCAGGGACATAGTCAATACACAAAGATCAGGGACATAGTCAATATATACTGATCAGGGACATAGTCAATACACACACAGATCAGGGACATATTCAATACATACAGATCAGGAACGTAGTCAATACATACTGATCAGGGACATAGTCAATACATACTGATCATGCAGGGACATAGTCAATACATACAGATCAGAGATATTGTCAATAAACTAACACAGATATTCACAGACATATATGTTATACTCCACAGAGACCAAAATCGCTTTAAATGCGGAGGGTTATTTATTATTATATAAAGATCAGGGACATTATCAATTTATAAATACAGATCATGGACATTGTACATTCAGATCAAGAATATTGTCAAATTAACACGCGTGTTACTATACCATACCCGAGTGAAAACAACAATTGTTTTCTGGTTTTTGAAGATATCTGAAAAACAAATCTTGTTTCCCAACTCATCATAGACAAACAATGTATGCAGTTTTTCAAAGTCCACAGCAGTTTCTTGTTTTTCTCCTTTGCACAGTTCCGGGTCGTCCACTTTTTCGTCTGCCATCTCTCGTTTGTTTTGACATGTGCATGTCTATCTCAACAGAAACGTTTGTAACGAATGGAGCACTACTATAGCTAATTTTTGTTTGATACAACATTCACAATACATGTAAAAGTTGTTTCCCTTTAACCACAAGTTGATCAGAAGTAAGGGAGATAATCCATGTGTTCTTGCTACATAGATGATTTACTGTTTTCTTGTTAAAATGTTCAAATTCAAATTCAATTTTGATAAAACGCTCTTTTTCTGTGTCAAAGCGTTTGTTTATCTATTTCATAACATTCTAATTATAACAATGTTTCAGTATACAATAATTAGGGTTACTGACAAAAATAGCTTGGCAACGCTCTTGGTATGAACCCGATAAGATGTTCTAAGCATGGCTAGCTTAACAGACAGTTTACGCATTTTTTTATTTAAAAAGTATTGAAATTCAGAATAAAACCAATTTATAAGAATACATTCATTATATCGCCACTGAATATATATAAAATATTTGTGATATTTCATATTTTTCTCAAATATTGCATTAAAAAATATAAACAAGAACTTCTCAAGATGATCATGCTTTGCAAAACCGGCCCCTGGTAACCTATACCAACATGGTGCATTATAGTTACACTGCAGTGTATGTAAATACATAATGGATGTGCACCAGACATCTTGACCTATATATGCACAGATGTGTCAATGTGTCCCTATTTCTTTATCAGACTGCAGAGACCTGTGATACAGGTAGTCTTGACGTACATCTTTATATAAAGACGTGTTTTATAGACAGGTGAAACAGGTATGAAGCACATACACCGGTGTGTATATAAGGTGCAGGTGGACATGTTATATAAACGTAATCTTAAACTTGAAAGGATGTGAATCCCACTGGGTTACACCCTCTACATAATACCTGTCGAACGTTTTGTCAGACTTTCTTTTCTTACCTGTATTATGCAAGTTCTAGACTGGATACTTTTTATAAATTTAGAAATAACTCATTTAAGAAATAATTTACAAAATACTCCAGATTGAAGTCTGTGTCCATTATATTGTATAACAAGACAATAAAATAACTCCAGTATTTGCATGACAATTGAGATAAAGTTGTACACTCACAAACATCGAACTAGCAAGTCCCAAACTGGATTGTTTCTAAATTTAAATTACGTCAGAGTGAAGTGTCAAACATATTGTAACTTACGTAGGTATTATCAGTATGTAAGTGATAATATTTACTGAAGCAATCGAACTCGTCCGCCAGCTAACAAACATAGTAATTAATGATAATACAAATGAGAAAGTTTGTAGCAAAACGTCCAATTAAAAAGAGCAAGAAAAGTGAACAAAGTATTTCTACATATTTTTTAAAATAAAATTGTATCCAATTAAATTGTAACAAATTATGTTGGTCAGTTGTTTCCTCACTAAATACACATACATTCGTTGTCATGTATCAGTTTTTACGCCGAAGCTACTATACTTAAAAAGCATATCATTTAAAAAAAATGTAGATTATCATATCTGTTTTATCCCCGATGACATTGTGATATGTTTGAGAATTCCCCCACGGACTTTTAGCGGGGAAAAGCTTCTTGTCTGAACTGCTTGGTTTCGACTTTCAAGGAAGTACATGAACACACCTCTGTATACAAAACAAACACTATTTACCTGGATATTTACAGGGTATGTACGTGAATGCCCTTTATAATATGTAATAAACACGAACGTAGATCCAGACAAAGACATATAAAGCCATGTAGTATACGTCTCAGGGCCCGGGTGTTCAGAATTTGCTCAGCTTAACCAAAGTCAAAAACTTTTCTTATGTAACACATTTCGAACTTTTCAGACATGTCATCACAACGTTTTGTTTATGGAGTTAAAATAAATACAAGCGATATAAAATATTGATATATTAACATTTATAATTATTTAAAAATTTGAATTACAGCCCGTTAATTATAAGCTGACCCAAAATTTGAACAATCGGTCTCTCTCTCGAATATTCATGATGACATAAAACTTGTTGATAACTTGATAGTTTCTTAATCTAAAAGAAAGAACCTGGTAATCGTAATATTTGTATCATTACACAAATAACTACCAGAATAAATGTTGACTTTTACAAATGGTTTTTCGAAAAAGAATCAATTTGAAAGTGTCGCTTTCCATGCATTAAACCTAACCAAGCTTTAATACAAATCCAACAATACGTCAACATACCTGTCTGGTAATGAACACCCCTGGTAAATGCCGAGTAAGAGATATGGACTATAAAAGCTTCTTTACAACTACAGGCCTCCCTGGTGTTTTGTGAATGAAAGCATTGCGTTATTATCGGATTCCGAGTGAAATACAATACACGCACTTGTTTCAAACACCCCCTCAAAAAAGAAAAAGTCTGCCTATTTGTTTACATGTCTGTTTGGGTGGTTGAGAGCAAGGAAATTTAGGATGTCGCCTATAGATTCAGGTGAAGAATAGACCTGCTGTAGCCCGCGTATCGTAGGAGGCGACTAACTGGGGACCCCTGCAGGTTCAGGGGAAGAATAGACCTAATGTAGCCCACGTGTCGTAGGAGGCGACTAACTGGGGACCCCTGCAGTTTCAGGGGAAGCATATACCTGCTGTAGCCCACGTATCGTAGGAGGCGACTAACTGGGGACCCCCTGTAGAAGACATGCTGCCATTTGCGATATTTGGGATCCATATTGTTTTCCCTCTATTCTCACATCCGTACTCTTTATTATCGACGTTGTCTCCGTAAGAACCCGTCTTCATATGACATTAGGTTCCTTTCTGATTAACTTCTAATAGGTAATATGGGAGGGCTAGGATTTGGGGCGATGGGCTGGCCTGGCGTTGAGGGCACTGGCGATGGGATGGGCTGGCCTGGCGTTGAGGGCACTGGCGATGGGATGGGCTGCACTTAGGAAATTGGGAGGTTGGGGCAATTACGGAACACCTGTTATCATGTCTGGGTTTATTTTGACCAAAGAATATAACCAGGTAATATGGAAGGTAGGAGGGGCCTGGGGATGTAAGGCACTGGTGGGCGGTGAAGTATTTGGAGGTTAATTTTGACCTCCCTTGCCCATAGTAAGTTACCAGATAACATGGCAGGGACAGCCGGGAAGGAAAGACTGAAAATAGGTATATGTATGTAGTAATACATGATAAAATGGCACACCTGTATTACAGTATTACACAATCCACTTCAGGTCTGGCATTGTTACTCAAAGTCACGAGGATCATGGATTGCACAGACGGTGATGTAGAAATGTAGTACAGGTCCCTCACCTGATGTCCATGTGATTAAGTGTGTCATGTATACATGTTCATGATATAGTTGTTTGCTTGGTGAGTCAGTAGGATTGTCAAAATAGAATTTCAAGAATATCTCGCGACCGACTAGTGAATGGCCGTTCTCGGCAAGCTAGATATATTATAATGTATGCGAAACCATGTTTCGGGGTTAACATTCTCAAAAGTTGTGTACATATTAATGTGTACAAATGTACCGTCAATTTGTTCTGGAGCTATAACACTTCCTTGACATATGGTGCCCGTCCGAAATGAAGAATTAGAGCCTAGTCTACATATATAAAAACTGAATATATTCCGTGTTATGTATCTCAGACAAAGTTTACCTGGTAACCAGTATCCAAACATAACTGAATCTATTCCGTGTTATGTATCTCAGACAAAGTTTACCTGGTAACCACTATTCAAACATAGCTGGATGTATTCCGTGTTATGTATCTCAGACAAAGTTTACCTGGTAACCGGTATTCAAACATAACTGGATGTATTCCGTGTTATGTATCTCGGACAAAGTTTACCTCGTAACCGGTATCCAAACATAACTGAATCTATTCCGTGTTATGTATCTCAGACAAAGTTTACCTGGTAACCGGTATTCAATCATAACTGGATGTATTCCGTGTTATGTATCTCGGACAAAGTTTACCTCGTAACCGGTATCCAAACATAACTGAATCTATTCCGTGTTATGTACTTCAGACAAAGTTTACCTCGTAACCAGTATCCAAACATAACTAAATCTATTCCGTGTTATGTATCTCAGAGAAATTTTACCTCGTAACCGGTATCCAAACATAACTGGATGTATCCGTGTTATGTATCTCAGACAAATTTTACCTCGTAACCAGTATCCAAACATAACTGAATCTATTCCGTGTTATGTATCTCAGACAAATTTTACCTCGTAACCGGTATCCAAACATAACTGGACGTATTCCGTGTTATGTATCCCAGACAAATTTTACCTCGTAACCGGTATCCAAACATAACTGAATCTATTCCGTGTTATGTATCTCAGACAAAGAAGAACAAACAAACTCTTACACGAATTACAAGCTATACTCATGGCTTATAATATAGCATATGTCCTTGACCTTATCTAGTAATAAAGTATACACCATATTTATAAGGGTTTAAAGCGGGAAATTTATCCCAGACTAACCGGAATATGAATAGAGTATCCCTATATGGTTACAGAATAGTCCTACTGTCCCAATAGTATCCCCAAAATGGTTATAGATTAGCCCTACTGTCACAATAGTATTCCCTAGATGGTTATAGAATAGTCCTACTGTCCCAATAGTATCCCCTAAATGGTTATATAATAGTCTTACTGTCACAATAGTATCCCCTATATGGTTACAGAATAGCCCTACTGTCACAATAGTATTCCTTATATGGTTACAGAAAAGCCCTACTGTCCGAATAGTATCCCCTATATGGTTATAGAATAGCCCTACTGTCCCAATACTATCCCCTATATGGTTATAGAATAACCCTACTGTCACAATAGTATCCCCTAAATGGTTATAGAATAGTCCTACTGTCCCAATAGCATCCCCTAAATAGTAACAGAATAGCCCTACTGTCCCAATAGTATCCCCTAAATGGTTATAGAATAGCCCTACTGTCCTAATAGTATCGCATATATGGTTATAGAATAACCCTACTGTCACAATAGTATCCCCTATATGGTTATAGAATAGCCCTACTGTCCCAATACTATCCCCTATATGGTTATAGAATAACCCTACTGTCACAATAGTATTCCCTATATGGTTATAGAATAGACCTACTGTCACAATATTATCCCCTAGATGGTTATAGAATAGTCCTACTGTCCGAATAGTATCCCTATATGGTTATAGAATAGTCCTCCTGTCCCAATAGTATCCCCTAAATGGTTATATAATAGCCCTACTGTACCAATAGTATCCCCTATATGGTTACAGAATAGTCCTACTGTCCCAATAGTATCCCCTATATGGTTACAGAATCGCCTTGATGTCACAATAGCATCCCCTATATGGTATAGAATAGTCCTACTGTCTCAATAGTAGCCCCTATATGGTTACAGAATAGCCCTACTGTCACAATAGTATCCCCTATATGGCTATATGGTTACAGAATAGCCCTACTGTCCGAATAGTATCCCCTATATGGTTATAGAATAGCCCTACTGTCCTAATAGTATCCCCTATATGGTTACAGAATAGTCCTACTGTCCCAATAGTATCCCCTATATTTTTATAGAATAGTCCGACTGTCCCACTAGTATCCCCTATATGGTTACAGAATGTATGTATATATAGTATATTCTGTAGGAGAGAAATGAGACTACATAGTACGAAACAGTGACCTATATATTTGTATTGTCTCTGTTCAAAATTACGAGATAAATCGACATATGAGCAGGCGTCCTGTTGCTGTACATGTTAGAACAGGAAGCACCTATAAGCGATGAGTAGCGATCGACTGGTGGCGTGGATTACACAATGTAGTAGTATCCCTGTTATGGCGGACTGTACTATCCTAGAAACGTTTTAATGTATGTCATGTAAACCGTTTTAGTCAGACAAGTATAAAAGACCAGCTAACAGTTACATATGTATAGGCATGATTTCCCTACGGATTGGCAAGCCCCTCCCTTTTAATATGCTAGTTCCCTGACCCCACTAGTTAGAGACCTGCACAAACACCTGACCTAATCAGGACCTAATCAGAGATGTGTAATATATAAATAATTTAACATTTCGTTGATGATTCATATTTCTATAATAAACCATGGACTTAGATAGCAAATTCAGTGAATAAACAATGCATAATTGATCTTGAAAGTACCGAAGACCTTGTTTGGTTTTAGTTGCACCACGGCGCATTACTACGTTTAAAAACCTGGTTACAGTATTCACGTATTTGAGTTGGCTGGGTTCCAAGATCTCCAAGTAGTATAACGTAGTGCTCACTGATGCACAGCGACACACCCCCGTTTATCGAACGTAGCAGCCTCGTCCCGTACACATTCCATTCATTCAATAATGGGGATCTAGAAACCTTGCCCGCCATATCGTACCACCGGTTGACGTCACGTCATTAATATTCCAGGCCCATGTCTGTGTATTAGCATAGTACTATATAACATGACTTTGTGGAAACCCGGGGTAATAACACAAACAAAACACAACCGATCGTGTTTTGTAAACAAAACGGTTAAGCATATAATCGAAATCCACAACACCAGCTAGTTTAACCGAAATGTCTGATCTTTTGAATTCCGTAATAAAAAACAGATGTTGTGTCTTGTGACCTACTTATTACGCTCGACAATCGTGTCCTGACGAGGACAAACTAACGGGAGTTATGACCTCTGTTCCAACTGTAAAATTCTATGATGCTGCAGACAATTCAAACTACTTACGAACAAGCCATAATGTGCTGCATTTAGAGATTGTTTTATAGTGATATCTCCCAGTTGTTTTTCTGAAAAATTTGCAACATAAATATTTGAAAATTAATTAATTCTGAAATTCAAGAACAAACACGAAAATATTTTATTACACAGCGTGCATTAGGCCCATACCACGGACTTAATTCCCTGATTATTCTGATGTGAAGATAATTTCGACTCCACAAGAACTCCAAAAGTTACAAGAGTATATAATACACGAAATCAGAGACATATAATGAAGTATATAGTCGTCTTTTGACGAAATGGTTCACATCAGTGGTTCAACATACAGCTATAGTAGACTTAAGCTTCTGAAATGAAATATTAAAACACTAAAACTTTTTTTATTTATTAAGATTTTATTTTCTGTCGATTGAATTACATCATGTATTTCAAGCAACATCAACATTCAATCTGCATTTATGCACATCTTTTTTACCTATAAATACATCCATGTCCTTTCTCTATCACAATGGATGAAATATTATCATGTTGACAACCAGACACTTTCTCTCGTCTCTCAATTGATAGTATCAAACCTTCCATCATTTGTCAGCATCATTTAACCACCACAAGACTAGCCAGCCTAGTACACCTTCCAAGCTACTAAAGTTATGAAAAGTTATATGTATTTTGTTCACCTTTGGTTGATAAAGCATGGGAATGGCTATGAACTGTACGATGCGTGATACAAATGGAATGTATATAGTATATAAACATAACCAACATTGAAAAAGGGTTAATTATGTGTTTATGCACGAGATTCAATGTGGAAGTAAGAAGATCGGTTTGAAAGGCATGTTTAGACAGAGGCGTTGGAACACCTCTGTATCTGCTGGGAGAATGGATATGTACACTGAGTTGATGTGGCAGAGGAGGTGTGGTAGAGCATCCTTTTGAAGCTGAGAGGCAGTTACTGTGCTGATGTGTAGAGAACAGAAACAATGTCACCATTTCTATACCCAGTCGATTGTACTCATTTCTCTGAAATCTTTATTGATGTAGGAGAAGCAAAGACCAATCAACTTGTAGTATCTGACAATGACATGGTGAAGGGGGCGGGGGGATAAAAACTGGTTCACATCTGATAAAAGAATGAAAGGAATGATACCATCACACATGCAATCAAACTGTCTCTCCCTCTGTGGTATATTTCCTACAACCCAAACACACTTGCACATCTGATGAAAACATGAAACAACAATCATTCGGTCCATGATTACAGTACAGGATTACTATTTCCCCTTCAACAATCGCTTCATCATTTAATATAGTCCTCCATTCCTTCACTTTTGGAACAACTTTTAACAACATTCAGACTATGTACAAGCAAATTTACATAGCAACTTTGATACTTTCTCAAGCTAATATTTACATCTAACCTACTGCTTTATAATACAAAGCTTCTTGCATACACAATACGCACGCAATTTTTTTATATACAGGTTTACAACAACATTTTTACAAAATCTGACACTTTTTGAGCCCAGCTTGCATCAGGAAGCTAGTAATATTGACGTTCAATACTGATGAATTTCATGTTGATGTTTTCCCAAACAGATTTCATACATAAAAAGCTGCATGAGCTTAAAATATACTCAACATACTTGATCCAGAACAGACTTAAGCGTCGACTTTTCTTTCTACTTGTATGTTTGGCACAAAGTAAAAAAATCGTACATGATGAAGCAACATACTGTGTGATACAGCTGTAAAACCCATTTAAAATGAACAATCATCAAATTTGCATTTTGTGCAACTTCATTTTCTAACCTCATTATAGTCCACTCTATGGATGACAACAAACACTGATGTAGAATCCTTGGGTTCATTATAAACAGGTTTTACTATCTACCTGGCAACTCCCTTCAGGTATTGGTGATACCTACCACTAGATCTCTCAGGTCCACATTCTTGGTAGTACCCATTCAGACCAAATAAGCATAGCACCAAAAAAGTGCATCCATTCATACAATATTAAATATCTGTTATTGAAACTGCACAACCCAAATATCTCGAAAGATGAGCACTGCAATTTCAATCAGAGTTCTACAATCAATCACAGACTTGCATTGTCTCTTATAGGGACTTTAACATTTACTCTATAGCGTTGTAACACATCAATACACGCATTCTGTTTCAACTTTTACATTTTGACAGATTTACACCAATATATACATTCACATTTATTCGCATATGTACATAAACAAGCTAAGCACTTGGCATAATAGGCTAAATCAGTCATGAAAATACAAAGACCTTTTGCTGAGAATGATAAAGATGTTACACAATTCAACCCTATATCAAAGCAAAAATATAGTTTCACAGTTCACGCTTGCTAATAGAGCTCATCATGGTAACTAAAAATGAAAATAATAGTATGTTTATCACATTTACACAGAGAAGTTTTTGTATAATCAGAACTGAAGAAAAACATTATTAAGCAGAGATATCTAAATAAATATGACAAGAAATTAACTTTTCATAATTGCACAAAATAAAGTCAAACACATTCTCTGTAACCAGAATAAATAACAATGTGTAGCACAAATATAAATCTCCACATACACTACAGTACAAACATTCAACAAAAATAGTCACTATACATGGGAAAATATAGGAGAGAAATAAAGAGAATCCCTCCATACAAGAAATGCACCTATTCATGAAATGCTAAAGCAATCAGGATTTTTTTCAAGCACATACATTATCATGGTGGGTCAAGATACAACTGCTAGAAAAATGGTGGGGACTGAAATGCAACATTTGCATTAAATTTGATAGACTTCCCTAAAATTCCAGCTTAATTCTGAATATAATACGAGTTTTATCATTTGAATGCCTGTTTAATATGAGAAATGATCGATAGAATGAATTTATTAAAAATGCATTATTCTTAAAAACATTGTCAAAAGACAAGTATGAAATAGAGAAGGACCGTTACTTTTGAATGCACTACATATCAGATTTATTATTTTGTAACCTAGCAAGCACAAGAACGTTTGTGTGTCCAAATAAAAGTTTCAGATCAACTATCATAAGAAACAATTCAGTTTTATAACAAAATATCTTAACAAAAAAGGTATGTTGTAGGGCTTATGAGAAATTCTTGAGAAAAAAAATCCCTCTACGGAACATATATTTCAGATTCTTTGACATCCAACTCCAATGTTAAACCACAAGGTCGTGCAAGTCACACACCTTGTTGTGGTTCAGATCATAGTCTCTCTCTTTTTTAATTATTTGTCCGTGTTCCAAGGTCAGGTAAGCATCACTCATGTGTTCTGATGTTGGCTATAATGACACCTCATCATCAGTCTGTCCATATAGGTATCTACCTCGTCCCATATAGGTATCTACATCGCTGTCAAAGGCCGAAGATTACCCGATAGCTATCAGTTCAAGCACTGTTATTTCGTGCCAAACCGGATTCCCACAGAAAGTTGAACTCCCTGCCACCGCTGAAGTGGTGTTGTCTCCCAGTTTTATTCTTTTGTTTGTTCATTCAAGTAGCATTTTTGTTCAGAATACCAGTTCATGGAACTGTCATGCAATGAATTACTTGCACATGAAAATAATAGCTGCCTTGAAGAAAGTGAATGGATGACAAGTCACTTTTCACATTTTTAATGCATTTGGTGGAATTTATCCAACAATTACTGCTTTTGGAGTTGTCACGGAGCAACAATCCAATGTGTCACCAATTTGATCACAATGTGTTAAATTTGTTTCCCTATTATTGTGCTTTCATTATACCTCTGGATGTTTCGTTAGGGGTTGTAATGCCTGAAACGAGAGCAAAAGGAAATATTACTATACATTTAAAGGATAAAGAAATAAGTATTCATGAAATGAGTTTTTTTCCCCCAAATATAAAAATATATATGAGAATGTATAACAAATACAAATATGAAAGGTGTACCTACCGGATTATTACTATTGTCCCTCCTACTTTGATTATCTCGGTTGCCATATGGAATGATGAACTGGTGGTCCTCTGTTGTTTTCCTGTAGACAGGGTTGTCAAAGTTCATGCTCTTAATATTCCTGTTTGTGTAGCGCCTGTAGAAGACGAATCCTACAACTGCTATGATGATGAAGACGACGACTACTACAGCTATTACTATGCCAGCAATGAGCCCAACTTTCTCTCCGGAATCTTGTATAGAAGGAGTGCCTGCGTCAGTCTTGTTGGTTTGAGAAGTAGGAACAATAACGGTGTAGGCTCCCTGAGTCGTCATTTCTGGGACCTGAGTAGTAACAACAGGTTCTGCAGTAGTTGGTTTGGGTTTTGCCGTAGTTGGTTTTACAGAAACTGGTTTTGGTCTAGCAGTAGTAACTGTTAAAAGTAAACAATACAAAAATGTCAATACATGATTATACCAATCTTGAAATATTCTTGTATTTCTTTGTAGTTTAAATATCACATTCTTTCTTAAATTGTTACATGCTGCAAGAACATTGCAAATAATTAATATCGAGCATTCCAATTTCAGCATGCATACATATATAGTCAGTTTGCAAACTACAGCATAAACTTAATAGCTTGTGAATATTACCAGTAATATTTACAACAATTCTTATTTCAAATTAGAAAACATTAATATGACTTAACTGGCATAGACAAGTATTGAGTAAGTTATCAGTTATTATAGATACAGATGCAGTAAACTATTGGTACTACATGCAGTATTTTATCACATTACTTTTTTGTTATTCAGTGACCGTGCATTAGTTTGTACCGTTACTTATGACCAATATCAATGAAGATCTTCTAATACCACTTTTCAATGGATTGGAGGCTATGCAACTCCCCAGATGATTTAAACACATCAAGGTATGCTCATCATTATAAATGTCTGGCATGCCATAAAAAAGCGAGTTAACATTTCATGCGAGACTATGAAACTCCAAAAGATATTGTTTTAGCTTGCCGTGAATAGGCTCACTAGAATAAGAACTTTTAAGAATTGTTTCATTATATCCGACCTGAAATAGAAAATCATTATCTAGATGCTATAATGAACTTTACATGTAAACTGCAACAGTGGTAAGGTCGCCTATGCAGTTTGTAAAAAATCCAACATGCTATGCACCCAAGTTCCCATCAGAACCATTTTAAAACAGGAGCTTGAGGACATAAACAAATCCAATCACCACACTACTTCCTTACAGTCTACATTTGAATTTTGCTGAAATAGTCCTTACCATGATTTGACACAGGAACTTTATTAGGTGATTCAGTAGTTCTAGTAGCAGTAGTATTCTTAGTACTATTAGTACTAGTAGGTATAGGTGATGGAGTAGGGGTTGATATGTCTGTGAAACAAAATTAAAGGGCATGCCGTTACCGGGTTAGTATAAAACACTTCAGCAAACTTTACTACACAGCCTTCCCTTATCTTATTAATTTCATTTATGCATTCACAAATTGAAATACTGATGCAGTTTGTAGGGCCAAACTTATTTTAGTCATGCTTAATGTAAGCTTTTTATTATCAAAAAAGTTTTGCCTCAATTGAAGGCCTGGGCGCCCGTATTCATGAAACTGTTCTCATGCTCAAGCAAGCTTTCTTGTAACTCACCAGAATCATGTCAATGACCAAAAAGTTAAATTTAAATATACAAGTCTCTTCAATTTTTTTTAAAAATGATTTATAACTGGAACAAGAAATTAGACTTGAGCACAAAATCCATGCTTGAGCATGAGAATGGTTTCATGAATACGGGCCCTGATCGATGTTCCTTTGGAAGGCTAAAATTAAACTGATAAGGGAAATGCTTTGTTGCTGAAACAGTTGTGAAAACAATACAGATGAATTTGTTTTTTCCTGTTATTTTCTTCCAACGTTAACTCATCAAGCATGATCCCTTTTTCCTACTAAGTATTATGATCTACATCATGCAAGTACAAGAATGGTGGTCTTATAAATATAGCACCTTATCCTGGATACCGATATGTTGAGATAATTTTGAACTACATTTTGCATTTTTATTTCTTTAAATAAAAAATAAATTTCTTCACATGTTTCTTTTTCATGTGTCCCTTTAAATCTCTTCAAGATCAGGTAACAAATTCCAATGTATTGTCTTTCAAAAGGCTAGCAAGAGAATAAAACCTTAGCAGTCAGGAGTACAAGCTTTGCTGAGTACACAAAAACTAGCACTACAAAGGTATTGATAGGTGTGATGAGGTTCCCAACATTAGCCAAGATTCAAACTTTAACGGGCACAAATAATTGTTCTTTATAACATTTCTTGGTGTTCAACCATAAAACCGGATGCAGTAAAAACTTCTACACATAACAATGATTTAATGACTTTACTTATTAAGGCAGTTCTCAATATGAAAATAGTATCTAGGGGAAGGAGGCCCTTATAATTTTACAATAGAAAAGAAGTGCCTCCCTGTCCCCTTCTGTATATGAACAGACTTCCAACTGGTTTAGCAAATGACTATTTCAACTTTTTAAGGTCACATTAAGTATTTGAATCTTGGCTATTAAATCAAAAAGTTAAGAAACAGATGATCTCATGAACTTCCTGTGTTATCAATGTTTCTTTATTACCATTGATCTTACTAGTTTGGAGATTGTTGATATGATTGAAAAATCACTCATTTCCATTCCCCTCTCAAGTTCATATGACCTTGAAAAATGCACACCACTTTAACATAACAGAATCAATGACAAACTATTTTTGCAACTGTCATACATGGTTAAATACTTGTCGTTCAATGTCGAAAAAATAAAATTCAATCTAAAACCAGTAATTAAATATCATTATACAAGAACAAAAGGTTGATTCGAATTTCAATAATCAAGTTGCAAAATTAATTTCATTAATCAAAGTTAGTTCAAAGTTCCGGAATAAATATCAACAAGCATCTAAAACTAAACATAAATTCTTTGTACTTACCAACAATATCTGGCACACATGTCTTTTGGTCAGAATCAAGTTTATAGTTATTGCGACAAACACAACTGAATCCATTCGTCTTATCAGAATCGTCCGTCACATTGTTTCCCTGAGGAGATGGGAGGCAGAAATCACTGCACTGTCCATTGTTGTTGCCACAATGATTGGTGCCTGAAGAAAATAAAATATGATGTGTTAAATGACAAATTTATTATCAAAGGATTAAAAAGTGTTTGTTTTTGCAATGTTTCATGGGGATACATTTTAATTTATTGTACCAGTCATAGATAGAATAAAAGGCATTTTTTGTCATGGGGTCGAGTAATTTTGTTCACTGAACAATGTCAATTAAAATACAAAATTTTGACAAAGCTTACCATTTTTCTGTACATTTTCATGGTAGAAATGAATATCCATGGGGGAGTGAAGGCCAATAGCAACTTGGTGGTATCCGTCGCCCCTGAACTTGTTCACTGTACGAATGGACTCAGCTTTCCAGTCAGTCCAGTACAGGTCATCCTCGAACACGGTAATTGCAAATGGATGAATGATGCTTTGGGCATCATGAAGAACTGTATAGGGGGATCCACCATTAGTATCAACAGACCTGATCAACTTTAACTTGGCATCTATCCAAAACAGGCGATGATCAACGTAATCTGAAAATACCACAATATATATGCAAAATTATATATAGTGTACAAAATGTTCAATTTATTCAGTGTACACTAAATTAACCTCAATAAAGCTATACTCATTGTTTTCTCATATGATGTGAAATTAAAAAGTATCTATTACATGTACATTACTTGTTAATCACAAATACCTTTGACAAAGTCAAAAAGATAATTTGCACGCCTCATTGCTTACCAATTGTAAGACCATTTGGCCACTCAATGCCTTCTTGAACAATAACACTCTGGTGTTTTCCGTTAAGTCCACAACGAGAAATCATAGGCTTCTTTCCCCAGTCGGTCCAGTACATCCATCTACAAGTAGAACAATCAAAACAAATTGTTAATTCATTTTGTCCAAACAGATCTGAAATGAACTCAATCGATGCATAATTTTCATTTTTCTACAAAGATTTTAGTGCAAATCTTCAAATAAAAGTTATGAAATGTAACAATCTTTATTGCCCTGCCTATGGTTACAATATTAATAAGCTAGAAAGTATGATACATACCCTGCCAATGGATCAACAACAATGGCACGTGGTTCATCCAAACCTTTTGTGACAAGGTTTCTGCGCTTTTGGCCATCATAGCTCATTACTTCAATTTTGTCAAACTTGGCATCGGTCCAATACACATGGTTGTATATCCAGTCCACAGCAATGCCATCTGGGGTCTTCACATTATCAGATACAATGACCTGCTCATCAACTGCAGAACCATTGGCTGTTTTCCTCGCACTGTAAAATTCAAAAATTGGACATTTAACTATATTTTATTTTTATTATGTCATATTATAATCTCAACTTTTGATACAGATATAATTAAAGAAAATTTTGAATAAAGAAATATAGTAAAATGATTGGATCATAAATGAATATCCTATATCCCAAATGATTGTGGAGAAAATGGTTTAGGATTCAAAAGTCACCAACGGCAAGGTTACAAAAAAAGCTTACCGGAAGATCTGTTCTTTGGTGATGTCAGTCCAAAAGAGGTAGCCATCATTATAGTCAAAGTCTACTGCCACAGCACTGGTCAGGTCCTCGAGAACAGTCTGCTCCCACCATGTGTCTACTTGCAATGTACGGATGTCAAAGCGGTTGGCCACCAACAGATGAGGACGTATACCTGTCAAAGTAAAGGAAATTTTACAACTCGACATCATTATTTAATACATTTTGAGGAAAACCAAGCACAAAATATAAAAGGATTACTTTTCAATATCCAGGTGAACATTGCTTAGATGAAAAGAATATATTTTCTGTTATGTGGAATATTTATCTTGTATAGTTTTGATGCTTACCATTTACACGACAGAATCCATGGGGATCTAGAGTGTATCCTTCAATACAGCTACACTTGTACCCTCCTTTGTGGTTTTGGCAGCCCTGGGAACACACCGTCTGTTTCCCATCCTCAGGTTTACACTCATTAACATCTGTAAAATTACACAATTCAGTACATTTCCCAAAATTTATCCTAATTTCTATCTTCACAAATATATAAAAAGAACCATATTTTTTTGTAAAATTGTTTCCTTCTCTATCTTTTTACATTGTAGCTTTTGGAAATTCCTGCTATATTCATCAAGTCACTTAATAATATTTCAATTTTTATGAACATCTACTGAGCATGATGCAAAATTTTACAATTCAGTAATGTCAAATTACCTTCGCAGAAGTTGTTTCCAACTAATCTGTATCCATCAAAACATTCACAACGGAACTCATTACGGAACATCTTGACACACTTTTGAGCACATCCACCATTATGCTCCAGACATGGATCAACTGAAATTAAGATTTTAAAGTTGATAGATACAAGTCAATCAAACTAATCTTCTGTAAATGATGAATCCAAAATTCTGCGACAAAATAGATTTCTATTTTTTTTTTAAAAGGTATTACAAAATGGTGTCTTTGGACTACTGAAATGTGTTCCGATTTTTCTCTTTGGTTAAAGACATTAATTTATGTTTCTGTATCTTGCTTTGGTAAGTTACATTGTCAGTGTAACAAAAGTTTTCAGAAAAACTGTATGACATTATTTTACAACAACTATATTAAATTCATTCACATTTTATAAGAAAAAAGGCCTAAACATCCTACTTCAGAGCCTTATATGTCTGCTCCTAACATAAGTACATAAAAAGATACAGATGCAAATGAAAATAAAACTTTCGGGCATTCCTGGATTATACTGGGTTAAAAAACACGTCTTTAAGTAAAACGGACTTAAAACAGAATTTAATTGTACATAAAAAAATAAAAGACAAAGGATGGGTGTTGGGGAGTAATTAGACATCGTAAAACTTTGCTTGATTTTTATCTGCATATAAATAAAATTCAAACAACCAACTAGTAATTATTAATAAACAAACAAAAAATCAAATTTTGCAACAATAAAATTACACTACGCAAAATACATCCAAATAATATTTTTGTCCACAACATCTACTACTCTAGTAACAGTACAACAGTAGAACACTATTCTCTTGATCAAACCTACCAGAAGACTCGGTTGGTTCTTCATGCAGAAGCATTAAAACAAACAACAATAAATAATGTACTTTCAATATCATATGTTCAGTGATGCTTATGATATCTGGATTTTATAGTCTCACATGAACTGACTTCATTAGTTCATTCGTAATGTGCAAGTTGTCAACTTGAGAAATTTTGTCAGTCAATACAAAATTGATATATATAAATTTAGCGAGTGCCTTGCCCTATAAACCATGATTTTTTTTTAGAGATATGTGAAACAACAATAAAGCAGGTAGAGACCCATACATGAAGACTAGTTGAATCACTGTTTTTCATATTATTGTCACATAATCCTGAAATTTGACAAGGTTATTAACAGACTGACATTTTGACATCTATAACTCACCTCCAGTTGTACATTTCCGCTCATCTTCATCATTCAAACAGTCTATATGTCCATCACACACTTTCTCTGCAGGGAGACACTGAAACCCGGTTTCAGTTTGGCAACTAAACTGAGTCGTGTTGTCACAGGCTAAAAAAGTTTAAGTAGATAATGTCATGACAAACATGACAATGTGTTCAAAGAGGTACCACGTCCAATAATTTTATTTGGATTTTTTATCGTTTTTTTTTTTAAACAATATGACAATAGGGAGCAAATGAATCTTCTTGTACTGGACCAGCTTGAATCCATTCAATATCCAATATCTGGGCTGAATTTAACATGCAATTAAATCACTGAATTAAAGATTTGCCAATACATTTGTGATTATAAATGTTGAAAAATAAAATTACTTACTCTTTTGACAGTTTGCTTCATCAGATGCATCGGCACATTCATTTTCTCCATCACATCGCAAAATACTGTTGATACACTGATTGTTGTCACATTTGAACTCGTTACTGGCACAAGTGCGAGTACCTTGAAGTAGAGAAAGAAACCTTTCAAATGTGGAGTTCTTTTTTTCTATTTCAGAAGATGAAATTCTTTTTGCCATTACAATTTTATTCATATTATATCCTTACTAGTAAATAACACAGGGAATTAAATAGACAATGGAATGAATACCTTACTGTATATATACCAATACGGTATATCTAAAATCTGTGATAAGATTGTACACCACACGGTCGCTGATAAATTGGCAACATTTCAAATTTAAAACCATTCACACCGGTATTGATGTATTGATAAGTGACTTGTGTACAAGACTATAAGTGGTTCAGTAGGTCAAATATGTTGAAACTATTGTACTAAATTATGGACTCTATATAACTTCTGAACAACACTATTACTTAATATTCATTTAGAATACACGAGACAGAAAAGGTTTGTTAAACTTACAGTTGACTTCGTCAGATTCGTCAAAACAATCATTGTCGCCATCACAGCGCCAGGACAGGTGAATACACTGGTCAGAGGTAGCACAATTCCACTCTTCAATTTCGCAATTTGGTACAAGGCTATCACAGCGAAACTCATCGCTGTGATCGTCACAGTCATGATCACCATCACAATGCCAGTTTTCAGGTAGACATTGAGAATTGTTGCATTTAAAATGGTCACCAGAGCATTCTTCAACTGGAGCTGAAATAAAGCACATATCCCAATAAAATGTATCCACATTACACAACATGATTATAAATATCAACTTAGAAACTTCTGAAATAAACTCAATTTACTTGTTTTTGTCATTAAATCTTATACGCAACAATTTAGAAAAAAAACATCATTCATAGGAAAAAACTTAACTTACAACAATCAATTTCATCACTTCCATCTCGACAGTCAGTGTCCCCATCGCAACGCCAATTTCCAGCAACACATTGGTGATCTGTACATTGGAACTCCGAGCTGGAACAGGTCTTGGCAGCTAAGAAATGCAACAGTTAATTATGTACTACACATAAAATTACATATCATTACAGGAATTTGATCACCGATTACTAATTTCAAGCTACTCCAGAAAAGCACGATACATTTCTTAATAAAGAAATATTTAAGATGAACGCATTTTTTTTAAAAATGATATCGCTAAATTCTTTACAAATGTCAAAAGCTGCCAACACTTACAACAGGTCTGTTCATCACGGCCATCAGAACAGTCGCTCATTTCATCGCACACCCACAAGCTAGGAATGCATTTCCCATCACCACAACTAAACTCATCATCTTTGCATGGGTTTGCTGAGGGGAAAAAATATCATAGTATGTAGACAGTGGTAATTTATAAATTCTGAACATTGAAATGATTTCTTTCTTCCCTATCAAAAAATTTAAAACTATTGATTTTAAAAAGTTTCACAATTTTTAATACTAGGCTATTGAGTATATCTCAAAACATTTTAATACTAGAAAGCCATTTACCACAAGTTTCAACAGTTTCATCTAGTCCGTTTGGGCAATCTGCATCCTGGTCACATTTCCAGCTGATAGGTATACACAATGTGTTGTTTCCACAGTTGAATTCTTCAGATTTGCAAGCTTTATACTCTGTAAGTTGAATGGATAACATGATATCATAAGTTCTGTACTTTCATAATTTTATTTCAATCCCCAGAATTATATCTGTTAATTGTGAATGGCATTCTTATTTGTATGATTGTGTATTGATAATTATTTATAATTATATTAAATGGAATCTATTGGATCATAAAAAAGTGGGTTTCCTTTAAAGACATAATAGATTAACAAATCCATATTATATATTAAAATTAGTCTTGAAGATATAAACTTTTTTATTACAGTCAATTACAATATTGGATTCGGACCATTGCCCTCCACCCTAATTTTGAATCTAAGTGACAAGCACTGAAAATTGTTGTAGGGGTCTATGCTATACTTCACAAGTCCCTTTGAAAAATAAGGACAAGCCAGGCTGATTAAAAAATTGATCAAAAGGCATTAACATTTAGTTTTAATTTTCCATTTAGTGAACTATTAAAATCATATTTCTTTTTGTTTTAAACAAATGTGATATCATTTGAGAACATAATCCAATATTATTAAATCAATATATGCATGTATACAATCAGTATGTATCGAGCATGGATGCGTCAAATAAGGATCAATCTCAATAATATATTTTAGATTTGGACATGGAGGCATTATGTTCCCTCCTACATCCATCAATTAAATGACTCATACTATAAATAATTACAACCATGATCATCATGATGATGCAACTCAAAAATCAAATTTGATATTGTAATGTCTACTAGCATATTGTTAGTTATTAACCCACTATTCAAATTCACTTAAATCGGAGTACTGAAAATTTATTATGCAGAATAAAAGGCAGAGAACCCCCAGACAACCTCAAATATTGTGTGGGTGTATTGTATTCCAAGACATCAATATTATGTTTCGTGTCACGATGTTTTGCACACAACCATGTTTTTTCCTCAATTTACTAAAATATATTAGATGTTACTTGATCGATGCTGATTCTTTTCAATAGTTAGAAACGTTGAATACGAAGTTTCGGCAAACATATATTGTAACCTTAGCATTTGTCGGGAATTCGAAGCATTTGACCTACTGTGTAACTTCCCGTCACCCATGACAGCACACTGGTGTGTCAGTTCAAGCGATTTTCATTGGCGGATATTTCTCAACTGACCTCAGCTGATGCAGTTTCAACCAATCAGATAAACGTAAGGTCATACACGCATACGTGTGTTGCCTCATGGGGACAATAACACACGTAGCTTATAATTTTGTATTTTGATCAATTTATGAGGGCGTGAATAAATAAAAACACTTCCTCTATAATCTAATTTATATGGTGCATCTTGGTCTTGGTAAAATGTCTTTTTTTTACGACGATGACAATGTCTAATTGAAGCAAAAGACAACGCAGTGCCAATGCAGCAGAGGCTGACAAGTTCTAAATTGTAGGTTATCATGGTCGTCAAATAAGAATATATACTGTATGTTAACTCACCACAACCGAGTTCGTCGGCATGGCTTTCTTGACAGTCGTACGTTCCGTCACATTTCCAATCCATAGAAATACAAATGTTGTTGCCACAGTGAAATCGGTCTTTAGGACATGGGTTACCTGTGAAAATAAGAATATTATACATTTCAGAAATCTGTATCAAACAAAATCTAATGTGTAAAAAAACAAAACCTAACAAAAACCAAATTTGAATGTTTCAAGAAACATGATCTGAAAACATGCCGTACCGGCCGGCATGTAACCGGTTGCATTTCATGATTTGCACACAACATGTTTCGTGTTTTTTAACAACTTACCGTCTTCTGAAGCATATGCTACTCTTGAAATAACCAGAAGAAATGTTAATAGTCCCACTCGCCAGCAAAAGTACTTCATTTTTCTAACCCTTTTCAGAATTTAACGGATTTTTCTAGCGAACTGGTTTTGGAATATACAGCCTCCCTGCTCACACAGTAGGTCACTCCCTTGTCGTATATGTAGCAACGGTTGATGGAATGGCAACGATGTGGGGTGATCTAGAAACTGAACGGCGCTGTTGTATCAATTAAACAAGCCGTTTCAAAATATAAGTGATCATCTATTTTCAGTCCATCTACATTATTTGCAGTAAAATATTTCCCATACGAATAAATACTAAAATCACCGATCACAATTCACACTGAACCTTCCTTTTCGACAGTTGGCTATGCTCTATTGGTATAAAACATGGGAAGGTTACCAAACTCTGCACCCTCATGAATATTCATTATCTTGGTCAGGCCATACATGACACGATATCATAGGCTGTTCTCGATGTACGTAGGGAGAGGTTCTCATGGGTTGTTATAGCCTGATTTCGAAACATGGGGTTTATGAATGGTCATTTGTTTATTCATCATAGTGTGCTGTTCAGGTGTTATTAAAATATAAACGTGCCAGATGTTTTTTTAGTTTAACATCGGCGTGGTCAGGTAGACCGACTACTGGATGATGTCGGTAAGGCATGTCTATGGGTAGGGTTCACGGAGTACAAATTACAGTTGTTGGGTGGGTTTTAAAATTGAAACTATTTAAGCACCTGACAGTTTAAAATTTGTTTGAATCTACTGTATGGATAAGAAACTCTCGGGTATTCCAAAATTGGAGGGAAAATGCTGACTGTTTCATTACTTCTTAAACTCTTTTAACAAGTAATGTAGGGTAGTTCTAAGTCTACTTATCAGCAGAAGTAATTTAAATTGTACTTTCAATGTTTCGTGTTTTTTGTTGTTGTTTTTTGTGTATTTATAAAACAAAGTCGGCGACTGAAAAAAAGATATTATACGCATATAGTGGGTATATTAAACGCCTTAAATATTAAACCACGCAAAAATTAAGATTCTATCCTAATCCGTGGTTAAACTTTTATATGATCGACCAAAAACTGACCAACACTATCTATGATCAATCACACACTGACCAATGAAAAAAATGATCGGTCACACTCTAATGATATCTATCAATGTTTTATCTAGTTATATTGATATTTTTCACATTGCGAATCAGTCGATGTCACACGGAATAGTATGATGACGTCACGAGTTCTCTGCAAAAGATGAGTGCTTCTGATAAAAACATAACTGGTAAAATGTTCCCATTTAGGACCCTAGCTTTAGGTAATATCATTTCGAACTCGTTCATAGTACATGAACGCGTTTTATCAGGAAAAAATAGACGGCTGATAATTTTCCCTGACTTTTGTTTTAATATATATATTTGTATATAATAAAATAAATAGATAAGTTGCGTGTCCCATTCAGTTCATTTTATGTTAAGATATGACAAGTTCTGGACTCAAATCATGTACTGTGCTGCAAAGCTAGAGACAAAAGATTCCTGGACTACGTCATTGGGATATATATGGCCTATATTGTTTTCGTTTTTATACGTGATAAAGCTTGCAAATTAAAGGATTTTTTTCTTTCCGTTTTTCCTTTTTAAATAATTGAACATGCGTAAATATTCATGTGATCCGATCAAAGATTAATCATATCATGGCCATTTGATATCGAATAAATTAAAATTGACTCTATATCGAATTATATTGTGTCGTGATTATGTCATCAAAAAAACAATAAAACCACCTTATTCAATATCTAGCATACAGATTTCAGACTAAAAAGTATTTGAAACTAGCACCTCTGATTCTAAACAAGGAAAATGAAGAAATTTTAGTACACTGACTCCTTTGAGCCCCACCCTACAGCCCTTGGGGGTATGGCTGGCTCAAAATTTTCAAAGTATCAAACTCAATCAACTCATGGTTGTAATTCCAATCAAGTTATTAACATGTAATATTCAAAGTATCATTTGCCATTATAAACCATAATAAATTTTGCCCCCCCCCCTCCCTCCTTCCCCAGGGGGTAAACGTGAGACCCTAGGGTCATAAACCTTAAGACCCTTCCATCTATGAAGAGTATTTGATTCTACCATATCTGGGTCTTGAGAAGAAGATTTTTGAAATTTCA